CGTTTCCAAGCCGAAAGCTTTTCTTCTCGAAGCCGTCGGGCGCTTCGGGGCTTCCTTCTCATGCTAGGGAGGTTCCCTAGACTTGGTAGGGGTTTAGGTAGGCTAGAGAGAAGTTAGAGAGAGAAAGAAAGGTTATGGTGTGAAGAAAATATGAAGGATTCATCATTTATTTATAAGGATTTTATCGTAGAGTAGCCCCTAAGATTCACCCATATCTTCCGCGTACGAGCTCCATTTTCTACGTTATTTATATCCACGCGTTGGTATTTACGAGTACTACAACTTTCATTTAGACCCAATCGGCTAATTCTCATTGTATCTCAGATTTACAAAACTGTATTCGAATTCGTCGCGCTTGAAGAGTAGAGACTAAGTTTCGTCTATATCTTTAACATACGAGCTCCGTTTTCGACGTTCTTTACATCCACGCATTGGTATTCATGAGTACTACAACTTTCATTTAGATCCTGTTGGCTAATTCTCATTCTATATTAGATTTACAAAACTGTATCGAATTCGTCGTGCTCGAAAAGTAGAGACTAAGCTTCATCCATATCTTTCACATACGAGGTCCGTTTTCGACTATCTTTTTATCGTTTAAATCCTATTAACGATATATTCATTTCTCGGTTAGATTATTTTGGCTAAAAATCGAGCAATTTGAACTTTGAATTTTCGGGTTGTGCATTGTTATGCTAAATCTGAGAAAAATCTCAACTTCCTCATACGAAGTCAGATTTGGACGTTTTTTTTATGCACGCTCTCTTTTTAACATATACTATGACTTTTGTTTAGATCACTAATGCTAGAAAGTATTTTATCGTAAATTCACTTTTTACGATTCTCGGTGTCATGTCAGTTTTGCCGTAAAACTTCGACGGGTCATAACTTCTTCGTTATAACTCGGATTTCGGCGTTCTTTATATGTACGGAACTCTTATAACATATTCTACCAATTGGTTAAGATTATTAATTATAAGTAATCTTCCATCAAAAACTCATTTTTGATGCTCTTTGTCTCTAAATTGACTAGCTCGGATTTACGGGCGTTACAATTATCTCCCCCTTAGGATAATTACGTCCCGGAATTATCAACGAAATAGTAACTTCTATGTTGCTTTGAATGAGTATCTAACTCTTGGACTCCTTGACTGCATGAAGTGCTTGATCTTGCACGTGCTCCCTATCTCACGTTAGACTCCAAATTATGACCTTCAAATCACAACCTCGATCCGTATTGGAGACTCCTTATTTTTAACAAACTTAAGATAAGTTCTTTTATTACTACCATAGACTGATGTGTCATATTCTAATGACTTATCATTGTATATTGCAACGCTTAGACTCGGGTCTCTTAGAGTCAAATTCCAGAACAGACTATGTTTCAAGACTATTATTGATGAAGTCCGCTCGAGACCCATGAGTCTCACTCTCAATGCCTCCCCAAATATTGCTAAAGCTAAGATCTTTTGGAGGTGTTCTTTAAAGAATGAAGAGATCGTCACTTAGCACCTGCCTTGACTTTGTGACCAAGATTTATGTCTTATTTTATGTCTTTGTGGTTGGTTATGCTTTATATTAGGGTTTAGAGCTTGTTTTGTCCGCTTTTAGTTGGCCTTTAGTTACTTAGGTTGTGTTGGTCCCTAGAACCCTTTTCTTTTCCATAGGAAGGAAATCTTCAACCTGCTATTATATATATTCTTTTTATTAATAAAATTTTAATGGAGGTAACGCCCTTCTTTACCCCAATAGCCTTAACTAAAACTAATATATTGCAATATATAATATATTAAAAAATATATATTAAGTCTTTGAAAATTAAAATAATAGATAATAACTAGTTCTAATGAAACTTTAATTTTAAACAAAATAAAATTTAAAATATAAAATAATTAAATAAAAATTTTAATTGTATGAAATATAAAACTCAAAAATAGTGATATTTAATAAAATACAAATATTAGTATTATCATCCAAAAAACAATTCAATAAATATCAATTTTTATAGTTGTTTATTAATATTTTAAATTTTGAAAACACTCACATTCATGATGATGTTATAGTGCTTCCAAAAATAGACAATTGCTTGTTGACTTGTTAAACTACAAGTTCATATAAAAATTTCATACTCATGTTTTCAAAAGAAAAACCTATGATCCATCCGTCATTCATTTTATATCATCATAAAATGATGTCAAAAAGTACATACTTTGCAAAAATATAAAGTAACATAAAATAAACGTGTTTTCATAATTAGTTTTTATTTTAAAATTATATTAGACAAAATTACACGGTTTGTCATGTGAGACGAATAAGGGAAAAGAGAAGAATGAAAAAAAAAAAATGAAAAAATCGGAAGGAATTGAGAATGTTGATAAGGTTGAGGGCGATAAAGTTAATAAGGTTGACGATACAAACAAGATGGGTGTCAGTCTTATTTATTTATTCTTCGTTTATTATACCATTTCTAACATTAGTATGGGATATGTAGGTTGGACCTAATAAGGAAGAACAAAATAAGAAAAAAAAAAAAAAAACAGAACAATCTATGAAAACACCCAAGAAGGAACTCTTCTACAAGTCACCGTCTCACCATAAAAAACCATCCCTTCCACTATAGCAAAGCTACCATGTATCGGTATGTCTTAGAAGTTAGAACCCATCTAATTTATAAATTCTATTTAGTATTTATATAGGAAAAATATCAGGAAAAATCTTGAAAAACATATAGGACCTCATTGATATTATTTAACAAAACAAGAAACAAATAACTAAAAGAAATGGTGGACTTCCTTTACTTTTTTCCTTTGGAAAGAAGAGCCTCGTTTGTCGAGACCACGGCTAATCCCACATGTATCATGTATTAGAGTCACTACAAACGAACATTCATAGCTACATGAGTAAATAGTAACTAGTGGTAGAAATCGGGTAGAGAAAGAGAAAGCAAATGGTTAAATTTACAAAGCAAATGGTTGTCTTTAATAAAACTTATCTACTTCGAAGATAAATATAAAAAGATGTAGTTGTCTAATGTTATAACAAGGAATAGTGAAAGGCTATAAGGAAACTTGAAAAAGAAAACACAACTCCTATATTGTTGGTTGTATTAAACAGTTGTTGCAAATGGACTCTTTAATAAGAAAGGAGATTCAGATGTTTGTTTTTTTATCTGTAGTTCGTTTTGATATCTTTTGTTTGCGACGCGCAGACCACTAGCAGACATTAGGCTTCACAAACTGTTTGTTTTTTTTAAGACCGCATACTTAAAAAGGTTTGCATGTCCTCTTTTTGGCGCAGATATAGACCAGAGTCTTCAAACTTATTCAAACATTTTTAAGCCTAAAAAACACATATATCTTAGTTTTTTTCCTTTTTTTTAAACTTATATTTATTCCAACTTTTTCTAAAATAAACAATTTGAAAAAAAAAAATTGTTACAATACTTAGATAAAAAAAGTTCGACGACACAATCACGACTTTTGTGATAAAATTTATAAATAAAAATTTAATTACAATAATGGTTGATAAAGCTGTTTATATAGATATGAAAAAAAAATCATAATATTGTCTTATATTTTCTGTGTCAAATTTTATAAAACATTATTTAATGTAATATCATTCATTTCTTTTGATAAATATTTATGGACAGGTTTTAATTGATTTAATTGAAAAGATAAAATGAAAATTTTAAAAATTTTATTTAAAATCAAAGTTTCTTTACATCCATTTTATGTGTTAAATTCTTTTATCCTTAATTACAATGTTTAGGTATATTTTTGCGACCAAAGTTTGTTGTTTTTATCAAATATATACGTTAACTCGTACTATATTATTTTCACTTTTTATACAATAATAATTAAAAGTCGATCTATATTTTTTAATTATCTTTAATAAAGTCATAAAATTATTGAAAAACTCTTTTAAGTTTTAAAAAATTCGGTTTAATTAGATTTTAGTTCATTCTAGCAACTTCCAGATGTACAATCTTCTTTCAGACTGCAGACGTCTGGTTCACCTTTTCTATTGCAAAGGTCTACAGATGTTATCCGCAGACTGCAGACATTTTATCTCAAAAAAAACAAACGACACATTAATCATGCAACGTAATCATTGTTATTTATTATCATTTTTTCTACAAACATCTAGTTTTAAAGGTCAAGTAGGCAAGTTTATAAGGCGATTGACCCCGTTTGAACCAGATTTTTGCAAATTGGTCATTTTTTACTCATTCAACAGACCCAACCAGCCACAAGTATTGTTGACTGTTTCATTTTTGTCATTTTCACTTAATTAAGGAATAATTAAGTAACGAAGTGTTTTTCTATTCTATATTCACTACTGGCTTCCACTCCCTGTGAACCATTCCATCATATCAATTCAAGATATATACATCATAGTCCGAAGAATTAATCATGCTATATCCTGATAAGGATGCAAAATCCCTTTTTATAGGAGTAATCTTTAACAAGTCTTATTCTCTGAAAACGAGCCCAAGGAAGACCACGGTTGGCTAGACACATATGTAAGTAATCTTTAACAATTTACATTTCAAAATATAATACGTTAAAGAATACTCCTTAAACTTTACCAATTAACACAAGCACGTCGATTTGAATACATAATCAGACATCTTAGCCTGTCATCTTCAGGCGTTATTGTAGCTAATTTAGATAAATTCATGTTTATATGAAACTGAATTAGATAAATTTATGTTTATATGAAGTCGAATGAAATTGCAGTTGAGATTGTCAGAAAGATACTGATGCGATGCTCAAATGACTCACTCGCTCAAATGACTCATGAGACGTATTGCTCTTTTGCTTATAAATTTAAACTCATCACAAGCAAAAAAAAAATGTGTAGCACTATAAAACCTCCCAATATAGACATCAAAACACCACATTCCTAATGCATTACACATAAGGGCAAAGATGGGTTTGTTTAACCAATCGTTACATAATTAACTCAGGGCTATCACCAAATCCACCGATGCAATGCATTAACAACTTGTACATCATGCTTAAATACCTATACATTAGCATCGGATTTGACCCCGGAAAAAAAAAAAAAAAAAAACATCTCTCCAGCAAAAAAATTCAAGACATTGCTTGCTGGTAACTCAAGACTAAAAAAAGTTACACAAAATGCTAAACTAAAATTACAATTATACCCTCAACTAACACCACTACTTCCATGGCATACTAGCCATGCCTTGAGGGCTACTATTGTTCATTGGACTCCCGGCCCCACCCGATGACTCACTCATGGTCCCATGAGACGGTGAGCTGGCGGGTGCGGGCCCATGATTCGGTTGGTGAGCCGCCATGACTTTTGGGTTCAACGGTTCACCATGGTTAGCCGGGGTATGTTCTTTAGAGTTTTCCGGAAGAAAACTTCCGACTATAACCTGCAATAACAAGTATCAGATTTACAATTATACACTTGATGGGCTTAGTGTATCTAGTACAAAAAGGGTAATTTAGTCATTTTAACCTGAACAGGCGATGTAGCGATTAAGAGTCCGGCTACAACACCGCCAAAAACACGACCATCGGGTCCCGATAATGTGATGCTTAGACCGCCTGTTCTTGTGCGTTGACCGTATATTTCTGAGAGGACAAATGAACCCGAAAGGGCTAATATGTCAAAACGCCCCTGAAAAAAGAAAAAGAATATGTTGTAGCCAAAAATGAAAAAGTACCAAACTGGAAGGACCAAAATTGTAATTTAATCAAAGATGAAAGATAAACCTCATAAGTTGCAGTTCCACCAGAAGTCGCAGCTTGACGAAGTGTGACATTTGATATGACACCAATGCCAGACATGATGCAGACAGCCCTTGGCCCATTTTGAGAAAATGACATGATCTTGTTTAGCACATCCTGAAATTTTATTAAAAAAAAAAATTATTTTAATATTATTTTTAGCATAATGATAATAAATAAAGTAGAATGCCATTTAAGCAATAAGATGAAAATGAGAATGAAAGTAACCTCTCCAGGCTGCACCACAATGATATGTGGAGTAAAACCGAATCCAGGTGATCCTACAAATATAAAATTTCCATTATGATAAGATTAATTGCAAATAAAAATGTTGAATTGACGACTCAATATGTATAGATATTCAATAATAAAGTTTCTGTAAGCAATTTAGTTTGGAAGTATCAAAAGAAAAGTCAACAGAAATGAGGTCCAAAATCAAAAGAAAAATCAATTATTGACACACATAGCATATAGTGAAGTCAAACAAGAATTAATCAAAAAGCAGATCCCACATGAGAAAGTCAAAAAAAACATTCTATGTTCAACTATCACGTGGCTAACAGGATTATTATATGCAGACTAAGAAAAACTTAGATCTGAATTGACCCAATTTGATGCATTACACGCAAAAAATATGAATGCGATTATAGGTAGAAGTCTAGAACCATAAACCCTAAATCCAACAAAAAGAGATATAGTGGGGATCCAGATCAAGTTCAGGGTTTTTGAAAAAGTACCATTCATTAAGAATTAAGATTCGACTTTATGGTGAATGAAAATTTGGATCTAAAAATGAAAATGTCAGTTTTTGAATTGATCAGGCAATGTGATTGTAAACCTAATTGGAGAAGAAATGATTTACATAAAAATTGAAGGAGAAGTTTTGTTTACCTAGTGATTCCCTTTCCTTTTTCCTGTTCGATGAACCACGAGGTCTGCCTCTGACCTTCTTTTGTAACGGAAATCCTTCATCCAGAGGAATAGAACTAACAGGAGCGGCGGAGATAGGAGGAGGAACGGCGGAAATAGGAGGAGCTGATTGTGGTTGCTGCTGTTCAAAAGACCCGTTCAACGAAGCGCTGACGGTGACACCGACAGGTGTTAACTTTGCTGGCCTGGCTGCAGTAACGGGCGACGGTGACATAGAGCCTTCAGGATGGTACTTCGCCGGCCTCCCCCTCTTTTTCATCATCGATTCACCACCGCCGTGCTCGTTAATGTTAATGTTATGATGGAAGCTTGCACCCCCACTTCCACCACCACCACCACCGCCGCCACCTCCACCGCTGCTAAACATTACATCGCTGTAAGAACTAGTAACGCCGGGAGTGTATCCCACGCGGACGTTGTTCACCGGCGGCTGAGACGTTACTGGAGTCATCGATGACTCGAAGAGTCTTCCAGATTCAGATCCGTTCATTTGTACACGATTTTACAATACTCTTCGCCGGAAAAGCTAAAATACATAAACAACAGATGGCCTGGAATAACATGGCAAATCAAAATCATCAGTTGGAAAGAAAATCCAGCGCAAAATCATATGTTCAAACTTCTAAGCTGAATAACTACCAGAAAACACAAATTTACCATAATTTTCACTTGAATAACCAAAATCAGCAACACAAAAAGCCCTAATAACAAGGATCGTTCTTAAAACTTACAACCTCACTTCAGAAATCAAAATTCATCCAAAATTTGAAGAAAATCTAGACAAAATAAAATAAATTAAAAAGCAAAATGAGAATTACAGTAGACATATTCCGAAAATGGTTTCCTTTTTCATAATTTTACAGTTACTGAAAATACAAAATTAATCAAATCAAAATAAATAAGAAAAAATTGGGGAAAAACACTAAATACTTACCGATAAATATCAGGAATTTTTGTGAAGAAAAATTGGACGATTAATATATAGAGAAGCAACAATTTCTAGGGTTTTGGGGCATTTTGAAAGAGAAATGAATTGATTAATAAATTGTTGAGTATTTTAATTATTAGTGTTTTTGAAATTCAAAATATATCCACTTTTCCATGACTTCTCTTTTACGGACTCTCTCCTTTTTTTAATTAAAAAAGGAGTCGTTGTATTGCTTTGGAGAACAAGATCTTTATCATATCTTGTTAGTAATAATTAAATTTTAATTATATTTATTTTATATATTTCTTAAAATTTTGATGTATATCCATATACCAAATAAAATATTTTAAAAGTTGTATTTTGGCCACCGCAACTATTGTACACTTGCACATTATTATAGGTGTTTTTAAATATGTAATAAACGATATAATATTAAATCGGGATATATTATTTCAAAAATTATTTTTTGTGTACTGTGTATTATATGATCGTATTTATTAACATTTATTTCTTATTTGTTTAAATTAAAATGAAGACATCTTATTCTTATCACGGTAATGTATGTATATAATTTCTTATATTAAGCTTTTTTTTAAAATGAAGAATTTCATATATACCCCTCTTAAACTTCAAAATATCATATTTATCCGGTTTCATATTTACCCTTCATAAACATTCAATATATGATATTTTCCCAAATACTTTTTTATAATGTTTTTAGTATTTTATAATCATTTTTTATACCTTTCAATTATTATAATAATTAAAAATTTTAACCATATTATCATTACCTTACGTCTATGATAATGGAATGTGAACTTCTAAATTGATGAAATGTTGCCCTCTTGACAAACAAAAAGATTCATCTTAAACCCTCTATATGGAATCTATATTTTGATTGTTTAGTTTTTGTTGTTGTTGATTATTATCTGTTGTAAATAGATGATATTTTATATATTATCATTAATATTTTGATGTTTAAAAAGTGCATATTTGATATTTTGATATTTAAAATTGCATATATTATATTTTGATGTTTAAAAATGACATATATGATATTTTGAAATTTTATAAAGGGTAAATATGATATTTAGAAATTTTATGAATGATAAATATGATATTTAAAAATTAAGTTTGGTAAATATGATATTTTGATGTTTAAGAAAAACATATATGAAATTCTCTCTTTTTAATATATATATATATATATATATATATATATATATATATATATATATAAAAATTATTATATAATTGAGTTATGTACAGACTTCTAACAATGTTTTTTTATTATTCTACAATTTCTAATGATAATTAACTAAAAAGTTATTAGATTAATTATAAAAAGACTAACCTCATTCAAATTGATACTAAAACCTTAAGATCATTTAATTTTCGAATTTATATTTATTTAGTCATTTAACTTGATTTAAATTTTAAAATGGCATTTAACATTATATTTTTGTCTTAAATGACCAATACTACTGATTATACCACATAACTCGTTTGAGTCGGCTTAGTTTGTTATAGTCAGCAGTACAAGTAAGCATCCAATGTGGCTTTATATATATATATATATATATATATATATATATATATATATATATATATATATATATATATAGGTTTTAGGAGGGGAAGTTACGAATTAGCATCATATATTCATCTTTATCATGGAGCAATAATATCGGGCCTGATCTTCATTCATTGGTCGAGGATGTGCTATCCTATAAATAAAGGGAAAACACACACAAGTTAGACAAAATACAATTGTAACATCATGTTTCTAGAAGTTTCTTATTTTAGGATTTTTGACATAAAATTGATCAAGTAAAGGCATTGGCTTCAAGGGAATAGGGTTTAGACCCTATTGAATGTTAATAATATTGGTTATGCAATCCGAGCCCTTGGTTTGTGTTTTGGAGTCAAAAGGGTAAAACGGGAAAGTGATGTTTCAGACTTCTTTCTTGGAAAAAGGATTTTAGTTAGGTATGTTTTAAGTTAAAAGTAATTAGATGGGATTGTAGGGCTCTTCAATACCTTTTCGTGCATATAAATATCATCGAAAACGAAGTTATGGCTGTTTGAAGTTAAGTTGGAAACAAGAAGTCTGACAGTACGTTGGGCGTACACTAGCTAGTACGTTGGGCGTGCTAGGCTGAAGAACGCGTTTTTAGGACATTACGCTAGGCATAAATTTAGGTATATTGGGCGTACCGCCATAGAGTAAAAACCTTATTTTCATGGTTTTGAGTCCTATTTAAGGTCTCTAACCCCTTGGGGTCCTTACTATCATGAGCATCCACCCTCTTGAGACTCTAACTAAACCCTAGCATTCTCTTACTTATTTTGAGCATTGACGTCATTTATGAGCTTATTTCTCCATTAGAAGGTGGAATATTGAAGAACAATGTAGTGACAAAGTGTATAGGAGAAGGATTTAAGCATAGATCTAGCAAGATTACATCATTTCTGGACCACTGTGAGTAAAAAGCTTCAAACTTGCTCGCTAGTTTCATAGATCTTGTTAATTTTCATATTTGTCATTTTTGTTCACTTTAGTGCATAAAGTTTAAATCTTGAAAGCTTGTGACCTTGTTATGGATAAAGTTGGAATTTTTATCCATCTAAACATCATATTGATTTAGATATGAAGGTTGGAGACTTTGACTTAATGGATTAAGTTGATAAAGATGCATTTTTGTCCCTTTGAGACTTAAAGACTATATCTTGGTTGTTTGGACCATCCAAATGGATAAAGTTGGAAACTTTATCCATTATGGAGCTATTAAGAACCATAAAAATGAGATATTGGTCCTTATATCCCTTCTATGCAAGAGTCCTGATGTCTTAATGTATTTTTAAGCTAGGCTTTTAGCTTTTGGGCCTTGTTTAGCCATGGAAAGTCATAAAAATGGAAACTTTATGACTTAGAATGATGTTATGGGTCTAGATATGAGTTTGGATGAGATGTTTTTAAAGAATAAGTTCTTAATATGAAGTTTTAGATTTAGAAGGAGTACACTGGGTGTACCAATGGGTACGTAGTACTTACTAGGTTAGAGTCATGTGGTTTTAGATGAGATGTGACTACGCCCGACGTAGTAGCTGAGTACACAGGGCATACTTAGCCAACTTGACCTTTCATTGACTTTTTGACTTTCTGTTTTGATCCTTGACCATGATTTTGACCAAATGTTATCTAGGGGCATTTTGAGTATTTTGGGTGGTAGTTTGAGTTTAAGGCCCTAGTTTTTGTGTGGGAGATCAGTAGAGGCAGTAATCTGACCAATGATTGGTCAAACTATCTTTTTAGACTGTGAGGTGAGTTTTCCTCACTATACTTGTGGGTCGAAAGCACCAATGTCGGCCCACTGGGTTATGTATCCTGGTATAGAGGATGTTGTTATGTCATATTGATCTGTTAGATATGTGTCCTGGTATGTAGGATATTGTTATGCAGTAGTGATCTGTAGATTTACTTGTTTGTTTGTTGACTAGTTATATAATTATCTTTTATATATAAGTCGACATAGTGCAGTTGGGTTGAGGCAATACTGCTTTGTGCTGAAGCCAACAAGCTTAGGAGAAAGCTAGACATAAGTTAAGGGACGGAAAGGCAATATTTACTTATGTTGTGGGCTCGAGAGCAAGCCATACATAAGCTAAGGGCCAGTAAGGCAAGTCGAACTTATGTTGTGGGCTCGGGAGCAATCCAGACATGGGTTGTGGGCCAGAAAGGCAAGTCAGACTCATGTTATGGGCTCAGTGGTAATCCAACCCAATGTTTGTGGACCCAGTATGCATGTTGTTATATGTTTGTGTGGTGTAACAACCCAAAAATCATAGAAATTTAAATTTTCAAAAACAACCATTATCCATAATTGTTTACGAGAAAATCCATTGTTTCAAAAGTAAAATCATATTAGAGCGTCTCAAAAGTCAATATCATGAAAATAGGAAGATGTGCACGATTAAGCCTTCGTTTTCCCATGATCCTCTAAAGTACCTGAAACAATAAACTGGAATTGTAAGCCAAAGCCTAGTGAGTTCCCCCAAAGTACCATCACGCAACATAACAAACAAAAGCATGTAAATATGAGCCTTCAGTCTGACTGGGCCGCCTCGTAGGGCCTATAGTCTATCTGGACCGCTCTACAAATACCCACACTACCCTTAAGTCAACTATAACATCATAGAAATTTAAAATTTTCAAAAACAACCCATTTCATTCATAAAGTGTTTACAAATACATTGTTTCAAAAGTATTATCCAAAATCAAAGTTTTCCCAAGACCCAAAATCGTAAAAACAGGAAGATGTGCACCATAACGCCTTCGCCTTGCCAAGGTCATCTGAAGTATCTGAAATAATAAACTGAAATGGTAAGCCAAAGCTTAGTGATTTCCCCCAAAAGTACCAACCCACACAAACATATAATGGGTCCACATCTAACATATTGGATTACCCCCTAAGCCCACAATATAAGTTTGGCTTGCCTTTCAGGCTCATAACTCATATATGGCTTGCTCTCAAGCCCACATCATGAGTCTGGCTTGCCCT